GGCTCTTGGTATTTCCTTACCAGAAAAAAAATCACAGCTTCTCCAGGAGGCTGAGGATCACTCTCTTTCCCAGTAAAAAATGGCAGAATTTTCCTCCTGCCCCATCTGAGCCACTTCAGCTTCCTGTAGGAACCTGACACAGGTAGATGGTGATGGACTGAATCAGGCTTTGAGGCCCCAGCACAGAGAAGGTGCAGAGTGTCTTTTTATTCAAAAAAGTGGGGGAGGAGGGAATTTGGTTTTGCTTGGCTTTATTTTTTTTTTTTTTTTTTGGTTGAAGCAGGGAGTGAGGGGACACTTACAGCAGAAGCAGACCGGGAAGCAGGACCTGGCTTGCCTCTCTCAGAGTCCCCTCCCTTTCTACCAGTGGCCCTTGGTACATGGGAAGTTATGCATTTTATACTCCGTGTGTGTGTGTGTGTGTGTGTGTGTGTGTGTGTGAACAATGAGAAGGTAGCTCTCTGGTGAGGATTATGAGCAGTGGTCCTTGGGACCAGAGTTGTGGTCATGGTAGAAAACTGTAGGACAATAGGGTGCCTTCAGAATCAAGGTGGCCACAGAGTACCAGAGTCTTGGTGTGGACATCAGAAGTCACTGGACTCTTCTTCCCTCCCCAGAGCTGAGGCATTTTGGTGCTTTCTCAGGGTCCTTCCTCACTTACGTCCCCGCGAACCTCATTCATGGAAACCCCCTGTCAATCTCACCCCCTTGACCTTCCTTCTTCTGCCTTCTCCCAATCCACTTCCTACCACCTGGGATTCTTCTCAGCCCATGAGCTTCATTGAACCCTTCTAGCGCCTAAGATTTACCACTTCCCAAACAGAGAAGGAAAGGAAACCCCTGGTGTTTCATGTGTGCCTGGTCGTGGAGATAGAGGCTGGACAGTTCCTACTCAGAGCCCACCTTGAGCGGAGCCTGGAGGGGACAGGCTGCTGAGGCTTCTACTGGTAGCACGGTGGGTGCTGGGAGCGTGTCCTCCCTCAGGTCCCAGCTGGTCCCGTTGAGCTCCCAGAACGGGAGGGGAGGTCCACAAGCAGGTGGGACATGCTAATGCTGGAAAGTTTCTATAGTTGACGGCTGAGGAAGCCTAACCACAGAGCATCCTTCCAAACCCTGACTGCTGTGTGAATTTATTCCTGGGGATGTCAGGGTCCTGGAGTGTCAGAGCTAATCAGGACAGAGTTAGGTGTCTGACTAGTGAGGGGTTCTGGATGCTTCTGGGGCTATGAGTTTTCATTCCAAAGTCTGTTCCAGAGAGAGCAAAGTGCTTAGTCGAGAGCAGCATTTTTACAGAGGGACTGAAACTATGAAAATCCAAACTCAGAGCCACTCAGAAACTAGGACGAGGGCCAAGGCTGCTTTCTCCCTGAATCATCTTATGTAGAAGGAAAACCAACTCTGCCAAAGCTACGGGCAGATTTTTTAGATTTTGGAAGCAGAAGCTGAGGCCTGGGAGAGGCTGAGCAGGTGCTCGGGGTGAAGGAGAAACCACGGTCCTGGAGCTTCTTGGCTGGAGGTTGGATGACAGGGATCAGGCCACAGTTTCAGGTCCTGGTCTTCTTTCTTATCAAGAAACCATACACAGCGTGTGTCTCTGCAGAATCAGATTTGGGAGATTTTGCTGGCCCCAGGCTTCAGGGAGAGAAGAGGGGTGGCTGCAGGGTCTCTCATAAACTGGCCTCTATGTGATGGGGTGAGGGCAGGGTGGGTGGGAGACAGCAGAGGCTCTCCCTGGCTGCAGGAGCAAGAGATTCCTTGTTCCTTTAATGCTCTAGGCTATTCTTTGAGTCTTCAGTTCTGATCTCACCCAACCCTGTAGAGAGAGCCTGTGCACCTCAAGAGGAAGAGATGAAGCCAGCGACTGCCCTCTTACCCTCTGCCTTCGCCCTTTCCCTCCTCAGGCTGGTTGGGGCCTTTCATCAGAGCCATGGGTGGTGGCAGGCAGGGAGCCCTAGGTCCTTATCCTTGTGGCACAGAGTCCCGTGATACACAGTGCCAGATTTGGCAAGTAAAAATATAGGATGATTGAATTCAGAATTTCAGATAAACAATACAATTTTTAAGGATGTCGTAGGCAATATTTGGGACACACCATACTTAAAAATGGTTCATCGTTTATCTGAAATTCAAATTTAACTGGCCATCCTGTACTGTGTCTGATGACCCTACCCTATGACCACATCCCTCCTCTCCTGCTCAGTCCCAGGGGGCCAGAGGTTGGTCACCACAGATTTGACCTAACCTGTTTTTTGAAATGCAATATTGAGAAGGGGACACTGTGACTTGAAGATACATGATATACTTTATTTTTTAAGCGACAACAAAACCACCTTTTGAAGCCATTTGAGCCTCATCCGACCCCTGCCATGTGCATTTAGTTATATATTAAAAGAAGATAGTTATCTATAAACATACGAACAGAATCTTGTTGAGTCAAGATGCATGTCTATAAACTTCTGTAAATAGCCGCATGGCAATGCTGAGAGTCCCCTCAGTCCCCCAACCTCAGGCCTATTTTACAGAACTGGTCAAGGCTGCTCCTTCTCTTTTCTGTTGTGTGACGTCTTTGTCCCCAGCTCCACACCCACCCTTCCCCGTTGGGAATCCCATAATGGGAGCTGTCAGGGGATGGGAACGGGTTTCCAGCCCTGGTGCCGGCCCTGTTGGAGAAGATGCTGGAGGACACCATGGCCCCGAAGGCCCCCCGTCTGCGGTGCATCTATGGGCAGGGCCAAGGCACGCCGTGTCCCGCCTGCTATCTGGTGTCCACTGTTTCTGTGTTCCGTGTCCGTGTGTGGCGTGGCTCCCTTCCTCCCGCTGTCTGAATAACTGAAAAGCCATAAAGGGGGCCTTCTGCTGGAGACCGCCCTCCGCCCTCCCAGGAGCCCCCGTGTCCCTCCGACAGGCTCCCCAGAGAACACTTGTGAAGGGCTCACTTGTTGTCCTCCCCTCCTGCTTCCTCAGCCCCATGTCATGAGGATGGACGGTGGCCAGGGCTTCTGGTGGGGCCTTGGGAGGTGTCCCTGGCTGGCTGTGGTCTGATGGCTCCACTCCATCTCCACGGTGGGACGCCACAGTTCTGCTACTTTCCTGGGGGCCCTGCAGAGTCAACCCAGAGTTTCAGGAGCAGCCAGTCAGCAGCTCAGTCTGTGGTCGGGTTTCCATTTACAACCTGGATCCTCAACCAGCCTGGCCTACTGCCACTGAGGTGTCAGGGTCCTTAGAGGGTAATGGAGGAGGAACTCGTGGGGGGAAACCTAGGGCTGGTAGTGGGTTAGGCTTTATCCCCATCTTCCTTTTGCAGCCTGAGAGAGAGCACCCCAATAGTGTGGTGGCCCTAGGACTGCCAGGCTCCTCCAGAAGTGGTGGGTAGGTGCCGTGGTTATGGATGGCTTAGAGGACCCTCAGCAGAACAGGTGTGTCCTGGGCTCTGGCCCTCATGCTGGCTCCCCCAGCCCCCGCCAGGCATAGCAAGCAGTAGGGGCCCAAAGCCTTCCAAGGTCCCTGGTTGAAGTGCAGTCCCCAGCCTGCAGCCCCGGGCCCCCAGAGCACAGGAGGGCGGTGATGCATGTGAGTAACCCAGGAAGCCTTGGGCCGGAGAATTGCTTGAGGAGAATCAGGCGGGTTGTGTTAGACAAGGCCAGAGATGGCAGAGTGAGCCCTGCCAGTTACAAATCACAGTACCCGGGCACACAAAAATCCCAGGGCCAGCTCTCTTGGTCCCTCCCACTTTCCACAGACAGGGAAATTGAGGCAAGATTGGAGGGAGGGTCTGTGGTGAGGGGGCAGCATCCGTGAGGGGGGCAAGGGAGCTTCTGCTGTGCCTACCTTAGCAACCCAGTCTTTAGGGGGTCCTCTTTAGAGAAGCATGACCAGTATGCCCTGACCCTGCTCATCTAAGGACTTGATTGGTTGCTTTCTAAAAACCCTGGGGCCAGAAAAGTTGAAAACTAGGCCTGGGGCAGAGGGTTGCCTGACCCAGTTCACCCTGGACCATCTTGCCCCACCAGGAGCCCTCCTGCCCACGACACACGTGCAGCCCTCCCCGCCCGCCCCCGCTTGGCAATGCCCTCCACCCCCTCATGTGGACTCTGTTGTTCTTGTCTGATCTCTTGTCAAATTGTTATTTTGTAATGAGCTGCGTCTCCTTATTAAAGAAATGAGTTGAAAGAAACCCGGGGGTGGGGGGTGTCTGTAGTTGTTTCTACCGGCCATGGTGAGGGTGGGGGAGGCAGGAGCTGCCCCTGAGGGTCAGCACTGTGCATGAGGGTGACCAGCTGCGTCTGAGGCTCTGGCCTCTACTCTAGTGACTCCCTTCCGGAAGCCTCCCAAGGGCCAAGTCCCATTCCCTGCTTTTTTGAGTGGGGGAAGACCAGATGGGCACTGTTGGTTGGTGGAGCCTGATGTCCTCCTGGGGAAGGCTGTGGTGCTGGGATCCTCCCCTGGGAGACTGCAGGGTGCCCACATCCTGGGATTCCCCTCCAGTCCTGCTTAGGAACAGCCAGCCTGCGTCTGACAAGGAGGCTGGCCCTGAAGTGGGAGTGTGAAGAGAATTTCTACAGAATCTTGAATTACTCCACTACAAAGAAAGAACTCCAGAAGTCTTTGACTCTAATGAGGCAAAAATGTTAGGAACTTCATTGGGGCTTCAGAGTTCTTAGAAAAGAACCCGGTGCAGTGGCGCACTCCTGTCATCCCAGTGGCTCATAAGGCTGAGGCAGGAGGATCGTTAGTTCAAAGCCAGCCTCAGCAACTTAGTTAGGTCCCAAGCAATTAGTGAGACCCTCTCTCTAGATAATAAAATATAAAAAAGGGCCAGGGACGTGGTAGCAAAAAAAAAAAAAAAAAGTTTTTAGGAAAGTGTGGGGGCAGTATTGCCCCTAGGACCAGGAAGGGGCTGGACTCTATTTCAAGACCTACCCCACCAGTCTCTTCACTTTGAAGACAGGCCAGCCTATTTTGTTAGTTTATGCCATGTGGCACTTGTCCTCTAGGGTTGCCACCTGCTCAAAAGTCAGGTCCAAATGCATGAGGGGCAGCAAAGTCAAGGCCGGGATGGGGCCAACTCAGTGATGAGCAAGGGCCAGGACCCTGGCATGTCTACCCCATCTTGCTGCCTCAGTCCCCGAGGTGGGACGGGCTGGGTGGCTCGGGTGTGTGAAGGGCACTCTCAGCCCAGGACTGGGGCTCCTCGCTGGACCATTTCCTGGCCGGGAGTGTGACTCGTTGCTCTCCTGCAGGGAGGCCACATACTGCAGCCCTCCCCGTGCAGCACTGGCCTCATGACTGCGAGGAGACCGTCTGTGCAGACCTCAATGCCCACTGGGGGACATCAGACATGCTGCTTTGCCTGTTTCGGGCCTCAGGACAGATCTGAACTCTTCAACCATGACATCATGTGTGTGTTTTCTGCTGCTGCTTGGGCTACAAACAGTTGGGTGACAGAAGGGGAAAAGAATCTTCCCTCCTTGACCTCCCTTTTAGTCAGTGAGCAGGGATTTCCGCTTGGCAGAAAACACTGGGCTTAGCAGAGCCAGAACAGAGTTTACTGGATGGAGAAACCAGACCCGAACCTTGGCTGCCCAAGGGCAGACCTGGCTGGCCACCCACCCACAAACCCTGCCAGCGCCTGTGCGGCTCCTCCCTGGGCTGGGCTCTTTCATTTGGAGTTTGAGTTTAACCTCCAGTAACCCCCAAGTTAACCGCATTTGTTGTTTGGATCTAGGGAGAGGTTTGAGGTCTCCTGAATCAAACGACCCAGTGAAAACCCGTATGTGTACAGCAGAGGACTAGGTGGTGCCCAGAGACTTGCATGAGCCCAAACAAAGCCCCTCTTCTCTGGACACAGCCTGCCCAAGTATGAGAGGTCAGTGTGCATGAGATGGGATCAGACTCTCGTCATGGGTGCTTTCTGCCTTTGAGGAAATAGCCCTGCTCTTGGTCATCTGAAACCCTGATGTCTTCTTACGGTTCTGCTGAACCTTCGATGTCGGCTTTTCCTGGGCCTGACACACTAAGGAAATACATTGGTGCTCTCAGAGACCTGTCCTTAAGGCCGGCCACTCACTTGTGGCTGTCCTGAGAAAAGACCTCCAAGTGGAGGGAGGTGTAGGAAGCTGGTGGGTGAGGCCCCCATGGGGAGGGGCGTTGACAGATGTGACATTCTATCAGTCTCACTGCACAAAGTTAAAACACAGTTTTATTTACTCACTTATAAATACTGTTGTGTTTACAGGCATCATATAGATGTGAATATTATTATTACCAAACTTTCAAACACAGAATACTTAATGCTATATAATAACAACCAGTAAAACAAAATCATCCATATCTCAGGGTTGAAAGGCCACTCAAAATTGCATAAAAATACATTCAGTTCACAAAGCAAATCCGGCTTCCCCTCCCGAAATGGCCCCCTCCCCAGGTGTATTTACAACAGACTAAAGTTAATCCACACACCTCAGCTGAAGAACAGTTTACATCTGGTGTGGAAGTAAGGTGCGGAAGGAAGGGTGGAAAGAGTAAAGACACACGGTGCTGTCACTGAGGTGGGATCAGTGTGGAGACACCAGGGTGGTTCTTATGAGCTCTTTTCACCCCTGTCTGATCAAGGTAGGGGCAGAGGCAAGAAAAGAGGGAGAAAACCATAAAGTCAAAGCCTGAATCTGAACCACTCAATTGAGAAGAGGACACATCTCTCCTAGAAGAGGGAGGCAAGGTGAAGCACACTCCTTCCCTCCTTGGGGAAGTCCAGCCTCTTTCATGAACCAGCTGGGTGGTGTCCAACCTTTCGGGAGTTCAAGGGATGCTGGCTAGAAAAGGGTGTGCTTTGGATGGCTGTGTCTTCTTGAACCCTCCCGTGCCCTGCAGCTTGCCGCCCAGTGTCCTTTTCCCCCCAATTTCTCTTCACCTGGCCCTCTGCACCAGAGGACAAGCTGAAGTCGGCTCGTCTTGGGGGAGGGACAGCAAGAGCAGGTGTATTTTGGGGGAGTCGAGCTCGTGCTGACCCTCACAAGTCCCTTGTTCAGGATTTGTGCTCTGTCCCGGGACCACACCAGAGGCTCTCACCAGCTTCCCCAGTTACATGCCTTCTCCGAATCCCCTATCCTGCAGGCAGAAGTGGGCTGAGCTGCCACCGCCAGATGCACTGCCAGGCCCGTCCAGGTGTGCAGAGAAGACACTTTTGCCTTAAGCTGGAACCAGTCAGCTCTCTCAGGACAAAGACGGGATAAACCAGACATGCTACCTGGTCTCCTTGGCCAGGCTAGGAAGGAACCCAAAGGGTGACGAGGGGCCATTAGCACAGTCCGCAATCTTTGAAATGGGAAGGGGGATGGCAGAGGTGGCTGTTGGATGTGAAACTCCAGGAATCCTGGCTGATTAGGGAACACCTCTTTTTCTTAAGCACCATCAGGTCCACGTGAGAAAAGCAAAGAAAAAGAACATGGAGGAAGATGAAAGGGAGAGGAAGGGTGAAGTATGTTTACTGGAAGGACATAAGAGCATCCTGATGTCAACTTAAAGGCCACCCACATAAAATCTTATTGGCAGCATTAGGGGAAATTTTGGAGGAGAAATAACAAAATATCACTCTGGCAGATTCACAGTCCAAAATGATAAGCAGATGAGAGAAAAGTCCTTTGGGGGACTGGAAGGGAGGGGGAAAGGCCAAAAATATGAACTGATAGAATAATATACTTGAATAAAATTGGTTTCTGAGTTCTCATTTCTAATCAAGAACATGCGAGACCTCATTTTGGAAGCTCCGAGCTAGCATGTACGTACGTGTCTATGCACTCAGACTAGAAGAGGACCCTCAAATTGTCAAGCCTTTGTAAGGAAAGCCAGACAGAACACGCATCAGTGCTGTGGTCTTTAGACACCCCTGCTTCTTATCAACTGTTCTTCCCTAGGAATTCTGCAGGTTTCCAGAGATTGGGTTGCAAGCCATTCCTCAGTTCAACTCTGACCCTCGATGTCCGCTCTTAAGTAGTGAGCACATCTTCTTTCACTATGCTGCAGCTGGCTGCCAGGTCAAGAGTCTCTGCTGTTTTTTCTCAGATTTCAAAAAACACCTCATTCCTTAGTAGCTGTGGCAATGACTTCCTGGGATGTAGTGAAGTTGATCTATTTTTCCAATCTAATCAGAACACAGCGATCAATACCTGTCCCTGATAGGGTCTCCTCCTGAGCAGTGTCAATACCCATTAGGGAAGCTGATTAGAATCTCAGCTCAGCTGGAGGCTGAGGATAAAGTCACCAGCTCACAGCTCATTTCCACGCTGAAGCTTTGCTCCCTCCTTCCTTCCCTCCCAGTGCTTGCAACCTCTACCCTGCTCCACGTTCAAAGCCCTGCCTGTCTCTTTTCCAATGCTGCCTGGGGGCCACCTCCCCACCCAGGGTCTTTGCCCTTTCACTGGGCTCACACTAGACCCACAGGAGTCTTGCAAGAGCTGAGTGCTGCTCTGTGCAACATGGCAGTGTGGTTTGTAAATGCTTCTGACTTTGCTGGTCTCGTTTGCAGACCTGCTATAAAGGAAAGCCTGCCTTGAACAGAACCAGAACTTCCTACTTCTGAGAGACCAGAATCCAGAGGAGCTCAAAGGAACTAATTTTTTTTTTTTTTTACTGAGGAAAATTCCTTTGCTGTTGCAAGACAGAGTTCAAGACCAGGGACCAGCTCGTGCTAAGCAGCAATGCAATCAATTTGTCTGTCTGGGGCGAAGAGGCAGAGTAGGCCATGTCTGAGGAAGCCGAGGAAAGGTGGTTGAGGACCTGTGAAGCGGCAGCTCTATTTCCTATTAAAACAATTTGTCTGAAGGCTGCCTACAACAAATTACTTTCTATCCATTTCCCTATGAGCTCCAATTTCCACCTCTGCAGGTTTTAATATTCTTACCAAAACATTAGGAGGGAAAGCAATTGCAACACCACTCAATTATCCTTAATACCAAACTCACTTTCCAGCAAGGATGAGAAGTCAGTCTTGACGAGCTGATGTTAAACAGTTTGAATTGGAAGAAAACAAGAATTTTTGCTCTTGAATTTTTGAGGTTAAAAAGAAGGAATTTTTGAAGCAGAAATTCCAAGTATAAGAAATGTTCTGTTCTTCCTAAGAATGAATAAATCACAGAATTTTAAGCCAAGAGAATTTAAAGGTAATCTTGCCCAAGGTCACACGGCTAATAGAAGAGCTGACCCCAGCACTGATGTTCAGGTTCCTGGGGGTTTACCCTTTCATGTCGCCTATTCTCCCCTCACAGCTGCCTCATTTACGGGGTCACAGGAATCCAAATCTTTGAGGGGGTCTGAACCTGCCTTAAAAATCAGAATAGTGAGAGAGATCTGGGCTTAGATTTGAGCAGGGACCTCTGACTGACGAGATTGTGTGCCAAGGTAAGTGCAGTGTGGGCATAAATGATGGGGTTCAGTGGCCCTGGTGGTATCCAGAAGAGAAGGACTCTGGACTCCTGGTGATCCCTCACTGTTCAGCTGCAGTAGTGACTCACTTGCTGGGGCAGACAGGAACTCCCCCTTTCCATGGGCCTTGTTGCTGAACCTGTAGGCCTCCCTTTAAGGTGTGAAGTGGCTGGAAGCAGAATAACACAACACGTAGAACAGTCTTCTCTTCCCCAGGTGTCTGCTCACCCAGGCCCATCTCCTAAAGAGTGCCAACACTGTGGGGACCTTCTGCACAGTGGCCTGGCCAGAAACAACTGGCTTTTCTCTGAGAGGAGATGGTGTCTTTCTTTGGCTAAGAGATGCTGCAAAGTTGCCAGACATCCAGAGGCACAGCAAAGTGCATGGCTGAGAATTTCTCCTTCCTCATCTCTGAAATCAGTTAAATGCTCTTGGCGGAGAAGCAGCTGGTAGTTCACCCAGTCTTGTGTGGGATCCACAGCTATTAAGTAGGATTGTAGCCTCCTTGCTTCCTGGTGTAACTGTCAAATAAGCACATGCTTTGTTTGGGATAGGGAGAAGAAGTGAAATGTTCCAAACAGAGATATGAAACCCACCAGCGGCCTCGAGAGCATCAAATGCATCTAGATCTCGTTAAACATGGAAAAGCACAGAAGAGAAATGCAAATATCCTGCAGCTGGATAGACAGCAAGGGAGTATCTAGGAGATAGCCAATGAGATTGGCCTAGTGGAGAATCGAATGTTCTAAGGACACCTGGGACATGTCTGTTGTTCAGAATTGTTAGTAGCTGTACCCTGAGATATGCACAGCCTTATGCTAGAGATTAGGATGGGGCTGGGGTCATCACACCTGGGGCTTCTGAAAAGGACTGGGCTATCTGAAAAGGATCAGCAGCCTCTGAAAGACAAATAGGCAAACTTTAGCCAGAGAATCTCTGGAATCCTCAATCGTTACTCCCAAAGGTGTGGCTTGGCTATTGAAAAATATCAAGTCAGTGGGAACAGAGGGTGTGAAGTTGAACTGAGAAATTCTCTTTTCCAGACAGTCTTGACAGTCTTCCTGTCAAGACTAAAGTGACAGAGCTGAGCCTCTCGCTGCTGGCCAGCCTGCTGCTACTCACTTAGCTTGAGCTGCTGGGGTGCTCATGAGTTCCCAAACCAGCAGGCAAGGATGCAGAGGGCAGTGGAGACTGAGGAGACCAATAGTAGGTAACTTGCTACTAAAAGGCCTACACCCAGCACCTTGTATGGCTTCCAGTCAATACAGCTGTGACGAAAGGACGTTTTATTCTCTATAGGAGAACAGGATTCAGAATGTTATCTAATAAAATCAATGGCATAAGAACAATTGCCTGAAATAGTGAATTCAGGAAATTGTACCTTAGTGTGAACTATGGTTCACACTTTCTGAGTTCTTGGCCATAGAATCCAGTATTCCTGAGATTAAAAAGCTTGTAAACTTCTTGACACAAGGAAAGACTCCTGGCAAGAAGAGACCTTTGACATGAAAGGCTGCTGTAGAGCAGCGGGGGAGAGACACCAATTCAAGAGTTTTGAGAACCTGCCTCCAATACTTTAAAAGGCACAAAGGGATCTGAGGGAATTCTGCAATTCCTTTACTCGGTCTAAGGAACTGAGAAGAATAACAAATATTTCCTAATAATCTGGTTTTCTTTTCTTAAGAGGCAATCAGCTCCACTTCCTCCATATCCAAGAGGCACCAGGAGAATCAATTAGCCAATCCTTGTTGATTTCTTTTCCCCCGAATGAAGGATATGCTTACAGTGGAAGATATGGCACTTCTCACTCTAATCCAGCATTCCCTGAGAATTGAGCTTACAATACCCACATTATAATATAAAATTCCAAGATAGGAGCAGCTTCTCCTGGAAAAAAAATGAAAAAAAAAAAAAAAAAGAGGCAGGAACAGAAGAGAGAATCTTATATACTCTAAAAGTGAGGTTCTACCAGAGGAGGCATGGCTACTATTCTGGAACTGTTCCTGAATTATAGATTCTGAGAAAAGAGCATGGGCATTCCAGAGGACTATCGAGAACACCATCGACACTTTCAGAAGACAATGACAGACAGAGGTATCACAGACTGCTCCCAGCACTGAGTATCACTGGCAACCCTACAATGAGGCTCTAAGTGACCTGCACACTCAAGGTGAACCAAGGGATGCAACTCCTCCAAAAAGCAAATACTATATGCCTTAATTGTCTCATGGAGAACTAATGATTGAACTGTGCGCTGGGGTTATGGAGTACTCTGTGAAGGTCTGGGAAAGATATCTTAAAAGGCTGTTTTGTCTAAAGCAGGATGGCCAAGATGACAGGTATGAAAAGCATGTCACATGAGGAGTGACTGAAAAGACTAGGGCAGTGTGGGATTGATGTCAGGTGAAGAAGAGACCACCATCCACATGGATCTGAAGTGCTCTCACTTCAAGGAGCTATGAAGGGTAGACATGGCCTACAGGCAGACTTCAGCTGGTCTTAGGAGAAACTCTGATTAGAGTTGCTCAAACCTCAAGTAGTAAGTGCACAGCCACCAGAGGCTATCTAACTATGGGTCAAAGCGGTAGCAGGGGTCCCTGTGACACAAAAATGGAAAGCTGGACCAAATGACCTCTGGGCCTTGCCACTCTAAAATTCCATGACCCTCATCATGCGTTAAAAGGACTTCTTCCCTTTAAACCTCATCAAGCAACCATGTCTCCTGATAACTTCTAAGAATGCAAATATCTCTTCCCTTAATCTAACCACCAGAAACAATCCAATCCACCACTATTCTCACAGCACAGTGGAACACTGTCTTCTCTGTCGTCATGTTTCAGTGTCCTCAGATACTTTCCTTTCACCAAATATGTATTTCAACTTCCACCCTCTGCCCAGCTCCCAACAGTCTGCCCTCCCCACCTTACAGGTCTCCTTGCAATGACTTCATATCTCATTTGCAAGAGGCACCAGGTGAAGAGAGGAAAATTCCCTCATCAAAGAGAGATCAGGCAGAATGGGGTATCTACTTTTCTGATAAGGAATAAGATTTTCTAATAAGAGCTATTTTCTAATAAGGAGCCCAGATTTTCTAATAAGAAAAACCATTTTTCAGGGGGAAGATAAGTGGAAAATGTGAATAGCAGGCTGACACTTCTGCCATGGTCTCACTTTTTATAGACAGGGCTCATGAAGCACCAGAGTCATGATTTTCTAGTCTCCAGAGTAATGATCTTCCACAATGGTCAAAACAAAACAAAACAAAACAAACAAAAAACCAAGGTCGAGTGCTCTGGAGGCAAGGGTGTGGGAGAGAAAGAACGAAAGGATAGAAGGTAAAGGAATAAGTGAGGCCAGGGCCATCAGTGCCTTGGATAAAGGTTAGGCATGAGGGAAGAAGAGGGGTTAAGACTAGTCAGGAATGGCTCTGGGTTGCTGAGGAGAAAATATAAGCCAGTTCCTGAGAGGTGAAGAACAGAGAGCTTCAGTGCGGTCACTGTCCCCTGCACTCCAAAGAAACACAGCTCCAGAGGCTGATGATTAATTCCACATCCTGCCATTTCTCTTGGCACCCCAGACAGGAACCTGGAGTGGTACCACAAGACTCACTTATATTAAAGGATACTGGGTCAGCATAAAGGCTAGGCATGTCTTATGTGTTTGGACCAAATCCAATGTGGACAAAGTAGGAGAGCAGCAGGAAGCTTAGGTCCATAGCTGAGCTTGGTGTGCTCCGAGGGGTCTTTTCCAGATGGCTCCAATGATCACAATCATGCTTCAATTAAAACTGTCATAAAACTTGGGGTGAGGGTGTGGGAGGAACAGGGCATTGAGAGTGCAGAGAAAATGTACAGTGCAGAGGATGTGACTGAAGAGGGTCAGAGAGAAGTGTCCCCTTCCTTCCACCAAAACATTCACTTCTTTTGGCTGGAAGGCAATGGCTGGAAATGAGGGGCAGGGCAGCAGATGCCTTCTCACACCTGGAGCCTTGTCTATTTGGACAGTTTGCTGATCACTCTGATGAGGGCGCCATTTTCATCTTTCAGCCTCTGGTTGTCAGATTTCAGTTCTGTTAACACCTGTAGGTGACAGAGCGAAAAGTGTGTTAGAACCTGGTGCAACTGCTTCCCCTACCCTCCTGACCAGGCACGGCTGGCAGGGGAGCAGGGCCTTCTGAGAATGTGCATGTAATGAGCTGTCATCCCCTCTTCTCCCAGAAACAAAGTTCCATTGACTCTTCCTACTTACTCAGTTGGTGGTGTTCATATTTAGAGATAGCAGCCCCTCACCTTTTGAGCTGGAAGATTAGTAACACAGGCTCACGTTCCACACTAGATATCCTTTTACTCTATTGAGTCAATGGCTATTTTCAATTATTCCTTGAACTCACCTCTAGTCTAGATAAACTGGAGAGTGCCAAAGTAGGCTAATGAGGACATAGGGAAGGAATTCAGAAAGGAGTTGTTGGTGATCCAAAAGAGTTAAATGAGGACACTGCTTCACAGCCAGTGAAAAAAAAGAATGCAGGCTGAGGGACAGAACTTGCCTTTTCTGCCATGTGCACAAGATGATTTAAGGGCCCTCCTTCCACCAAATCTCAATGGTCATACTACACATACCCACTTTCAATCACTAAACCCCAGGGAACTCACAGATGTGGTCACACAGCTGCAAGACACAGTGGACACTAGGCACACAGTGGACACTAGGCATACTCTCCACCCATAGTTATCAAGAAAAACCTAGAGGCCTTAGAGCAGTTTTAGGAGATAGTGTTATAATTCCAGGAAACAGATGCTTATAGAGAGAGAGAGGCGGTGGCGATTCAATTCTATTAATTCTACTATCTTTGAAGTTTGCCCATCTTGTGGAACAAAGGAAAAGTAAGCTCCAGCTTAGATATCCAAGTCTTTATTATGTCATCAAAGCACTTTGATAAATACGTTATGCATTAGAAACAGCCTAATGGACTGTTGATAAAGGTAGTTTTATGTGTGGGCCTCACTGATAGCAAGATTTAGGTTGGAGGGTAAGTACCTCTTTGCCAGGGAAGCTACAGAAATTGACATCTTTGCTGTCAGTGCAGATGTTGCAGGATTATCAGTCATTTAAACCTAAAGGACCCCTGTGGCAGGCAGGCAACACCCTCAGAAACAGGTGGCCTGGGCCCAGGTGTTATGAGACCTATTAGTTCTAGCGCTTGCCTCTGCTACGACCACTTAGGGATCTAACTTTCCCTCAGCGTTGCAGGGAGGCAGGCTACTTACACAAAGTCCACCTGTGCACGTACAGACGTGTAGCATACACGCATAAACAACCAAAAAAAAAAAAAAGAATTTGTAACGGGAACAAAAGGAAAAACCCCAAGGATCTCTGAGGTGGGAAGCAGTGTGCTATTGGGTCTCACTAGGGCCTCGTGAATCTGAGATACACTTCTATTCTTATTTCTACAAATGAGGGAATGAAGAGTTCATAACTAGACCAAGGCGTCAGGCTACTTAAGTGGCACAGCTGATATTGGTCTCAGGTGTGCCCAGCTTCAAAGACCATTCTTTCATTACAGGTGGAGGCAGGGGTGGGAAAACCCCAAACCCCAGGAACAGCCTCAGTCTGGAAACAGAGCCCAGCATAGCCTTCACCATTAATGATCTGTATTACTTTAGGCAAACCACGTCTCTGCATTTCCATTTTTGTGTGTATAAACCATTCTACTCCCTCAGAAGGTAGGGACGTGGTGGGGCAACAGGAGGTGAGAGTATGGGGGTGTGTGGACATCTAGAATGTGCTTTTGGATACTGGGTACTCCTGGGCCACTAGGAGTTTGCCCATGAATATTCGAGGGTGGGCAAACAGTCTACAGGCCTTACATAGATGACTTTCATTCAGAAAATGTCAAAAGAAAGTTCCAGACCTTTGACCCTGCCTTTCTTCCCTCTAACTCAACTAGGAAGGCTCTGGCTGCCTCCTCATGCCTCCATCCCTGCAGGTGTACCCATCAGAATCCAGTGCTCAGAAACTCATCTTAATCAGAGTTTCAGAAAACAGCCCAGGGTGGCCTCACAGTGTTTCACCTTCCCACCTCTTTCCTATGTCCCATCCTGTGGACTGCAGGCTGGATGAGACTATGAAAACCATATTTCCATGACAGGACTCCACAGGCGGGAAGCAGCTATACATGGCAGTGGATTACGGTTCAGTGCCTAGTGTCTCGTCCAATCAGAACTGAGTTGCCTTTTTTTTTTTTTTTTAAATGTACAAACAACTCATTGAGCTTTGGTGATTTATTTCTACATTAAGAACTCAATTCCTTGGGAAAAAAAAATTGAACAAGGCAATTTCACAGCTGCAACATGCTACAATTGATATCTTAAGGGATTGTCAAAAAGTACAAGAGGAATGTAGAAATTGAGGGAGGGAAGCCTCATAAACCTCACTCTCAAAAGAGAGAAGGGGAAATGAACGTGTTATCTGATGTTTTCTTGAAGTTAAAGAATGATTAAATAAGAACATATGTGAAAGCACTATATGAGGATGTTAACAAAGCTTTATCATTTTAACTCTCTGAACCTCAGCTTCATAATTTCTTGATTTCTAGCTTACCACAGTTTGAGGTATAGAAAGTTGGACAAATAAGTACAGATTTCCTCAAATATTACTTCTTATAGCCTACTGAGAAAAGTGTTAAAGAAAAAGGGGACACGGGGGCCTGCAATTTCAGATAGCTCCAGGGCAAGGCTGGCTGAAGGCAAGAGGGTTTCAGATCAGTCTTGCCTCAATTTCTTTGTTTCCAACTACATGGGAGGTGGGAAGGGAATCCTCCCTTTTATTTTGTTAGTAAGTGGCTTGTACTACATGCTGAGGTAAGTTTTCTCCAGGGACTATTATTAAAAAAACCCAACCAACCAACCAAACAAACAAACAAAGAAAAGGGCAGGGTGAAAAATCTCTTGATCACACTGCCAGTTTGGCTTAGTTATCTCATTTTTCCTTCTAGTGGGGGTCAGCAAGGTTTTTCTGTAAACATCTCAGGGTCTGCAGGCCACATAGTCTCTGTTGCTGTAGCACAAAAGCAGCCCCAGACATAATAATATTACATAAACAAAAGAGCATGGCTTGGTTCCAGTAAAACTTTATTTTTGGACATTAAAATTTGAATTCCATGTAATTGCATGTGTTATGAAATACTCTCCTTTTGATTTCTTTTTTGGCTATTGGTAGGGCTCATGGGCCATAGGAGTGGGTCATAGTTTGCAATCTGTTCTACAGAAGGTCATGTACCAGGCAATGGCATTCCCTACAGTGGGCAGAATCTTGGCAGGGAAATGTTCTTTGAAAGTTAACCTTTCGCAGGGAAGTTGGAGTGCTGAGAAGGCAGAAGTCTGTCCCTCATCCCTCAGCTGCAGTACTGGGTACTGTAGTTGCTTAATAGATCCTTCTTGCATGTTTTGGCCATATGCTTAACAAACGGCCAAAACTTTGTGCCAAATAAGCAGACAGTTCCAATCACAGGGCGAAGAACATGGACTCTGGAACCTAACATAGGTAATGTGAATTTTGGTTCTACCACTAACTCTCTGAGCGACCTTGGACACATAATCTGTGACTGTATTTTTAAAAAAATATGTACAATAATTCTGAGGATTCAATGAGAAAAAGCATATAAAGCACTCAGCATAAGCCCTAACTGACTTTATCATGGTTATTAACCACTGAAAGGATGAGATCTAATTTTTCCCATATCCTATACTATCTTGCAACAAAGAGGGGAAAATAACTGGGACATCTTTTGGGGGTCTCTACTTTGTCCCAAGTTGAATTTTCCAGGAATCTGTGTGCGCACAAGTATGTGCGCATGCACACTGGGGATTAATTGAACCTAGGGCCTTATACATACTAAGTATGTGCTTTACAACTGAGCTAAATCCCTAGTCCCTTTTCCAGGAATCTGGAGGCTAATTTTAAAGCATGGAGGTAGGCAGGCCTAACAGTGGCTGCTCACTGCCAGCCCATGGTAGCACTTCCCTTTCAATTTTCTTTCAGCCTGTGATAGCATCTGCAGCAGGATATTAGCTCAGCCCTTATGGTAATTTGGGTGCTTCAGTTCTAGTGGATATTAGTTGCCAGCTACTGACCCTGAAGGCAAAAGCAAATAGGCAGGGAAAAAAAAAAAAAAAAAAAGGCCCTGGTCAGGACTAATTAGATTGTTGCTGAAAATTAAAAACTCATTTCAGGGTAGTGGTGACCCCATCACACTATCTTGGGATGAGAAAACAAGCTGTCTATGAGCTTGTCTTTCAGATCCACAGCCAGGGGAAGGTTCCAGCTTGCCAAACACATTTTTTTGTTCTTAGTTGAAAATAAATCCCTGCTCTCTGCCCCACTGCCTGTCATCTCCTTGCAAAGTCAGCCCTATTAGGGAGGGTCTTGCTATTTGAGGGTCTCATTTATATAGACTGCGTTCTGCCTCAGCCCATACTCAGGGTGGGGAGGGACACATCTCTAGGGCCCAGATTTGTGACAGGGATGAAAAATCCCTCCCAAGGAGGGAGAAGAAAGCAAAGACTATTGCAGAAGGAGGCAAAGGATGCTATTCAGTTCTGCTATGATGGTGGGATGCATGATGTTTTTGCTGGTAGCAGAGCTGGGCCAGAATGGCTCTAGCCATTGGTTCTAGTCCTCTCTGCCTATGCTGTCATATGCAAGGATTTAATTCTGCCTGGAATTTAAATGGCTGTGGTTCTCAACCCTAGTTGAACAAAAGAATCAACAGTAGAGCTTTGAAAAAAAAAAATACTGAAGTCTGGGTCTCAACCCAAACCATTGATTCTTTGGAGCGGGCCCAGGCACTGGCATATGTCAACAGTTTCCAGGTGGGTCTAACGTGCAGGCAGGATTGAGAGCTCTTGTCCTTTATTACCCCAGACCCAACCATTATTTGGAGTCTACAACTATCCCCAATTGATGTAGGGGACCAAGTTGCAGTTGACTGGGAAAGATCTATCTCAGTTTGGGAATGACCCTACCAAAGAAATATATGTGCACGAATGTACACAGGTATAGGCATACCACACGTGTGCACATTTATGTGTAACCGAGTTAGAAAATACATATTCAGTATCTAGGAGAAGGACAAGTAATGTAGTTATCTTACTAAATGTACGCTGGCCCATGCGAGTCTACCCACCACCTCCCTCGACCTATGCTGTTATTTCCCATTCTAAGGTCTCAGTCCTGGCTCCCTCCACCTCCAGATGACCAAGCTTTACAGGAACCTGCACAGAGGCTCTTATGGAGGGGATAAGCACAGGGCTTCTGGAACCAACAAGAAGAGTAAACCTGCCTGGAGTAGTGGAGGAGGGAAGTGAGGTGGAGAGGAAGGGCAAGAACTAGAGCTCCTGGGTGTCCGAGGACTCGATGGACTCCGAGAGTCTGGCCACCACTCGGGTCAGGGCCCTGTTCTCAGCCTGCAGTTGCTCGTTCATCTGCTTCAAAGTTTGAATCTGTTTTAGCTGGTGGAGATTCTGCAGAGAGTGAGACACGGAGGGGAAAGACAGACAAGACAGAAAGAGACAAGACAGACCAGAGGAGAAAAAAGTAGGACAAAAAAACCATGTGATTTTTTGTTTTTGTTTTTAGTTTTCATGCTAGAAAGGAAATGAGAGAGGCAGGAGCAATGAGAGCAAATCATGTATGTTGGTTGAGGGAGGGTGGAGAAAAGCACCAGAGAGGGGAGAGCTATGTCTGCGATTCTTGGCTGAGGCCTAAATGCGCTGATGGTTGGCCATATGGATACAACTGGACACTTGAAATGCATATCTGGATCACTTTTGAGAATGACAGTCCACCAAGTAGCTTGGGGCCTTCTGAACCAAATTCATAGGCTGAGCCACAGCCTCAGGGACCCTCCATGTCACTGTCAAACTAAGGACTTGGTGTGTTCCTAAATCCAGCTGCTGCCCTTTTCTTTCTCTCTCATCTCATCTTCTCTCCATACTTCCTATTTGTTTTCTTTCTGGATTCTTTCCTTACTTTATTTTTCTTTTTAATTTTTAAAAACAAAACAAGGAAAACAAGAGAGGGGTCTGTTACTGAACTGCTTTCTGTATATGGCATGTACTGTTTAGCAGGATGAAATGACACATAGTGAAATAATAAACAACTGTCAGCGCTCTAACCTGCTTTGGAGGAAGCTTCCTTGGCCTTGCTAGTTCTCCTCTGCATTCTAGGATCCCAGAGCTGCTGACCTTCGTCTGACCTGATATATGATTATATGCATCACTAAGTTCATAGCTAACTGTGTTCCCTCTGTCAGAGTTAATGCTGAGGTTGGGAGCTGCTTAAAGGTGTTCACAAAAAGAGTCGTACACTGGAAGTTTCTGCACATAAAAGTGGAGAAATCATAAATGTCCAAATGATAATGGAAGTGGCTGGGCCAATTCCAGCCCTTACTGTCTGTCAGTGTTGTAAATGGAATAGAACAACCAGCCCAAGGGTATTTTTCTTAAAACCCTGTAAGGACTTAAAGACTTCAATAAATGAGACTATATTACGGGCCTGCCTACTCTGCTCCATGTCCTTCCTAAGTGATCATTTGCACTGACCCTGAAACTGAGGCCATCAGCTTTTGGGGAGGAGGGGAATGACTATGTTATGCAAATGGAGTTTCATGGATGAGGACAGACAATTCTGGGTTACAATGATGACAAAAAGATCACCAGGTATTAGAGAAATGTTTCCCATACCCACACAATGAGAAGGACAGAAATGAAAGATTAGTGGAGTAAAGGTTTGGGAGTAAAGCAGAAAATGAAAGGTAGTATGAGGGGAAAAACAGTGAAAAGGAAAAACAAGCAGAGACAAATCACTGAATATCCCTTTCCCTCCAAAGGGAGAATAACTATCTTGCAAAGAGGTAGGATAGCCAAGCAATTCCATAGATCCACTGGACAGGAGGGACTGGGCAACCCTCTTTGCCCACTGTAAGCATCTCAGTCATGAAGGGGACAGAGGAGGGAGATCATGGTGCAGCACATGGAAAAGTTTAAAGAGATGGGCAGGGACCAAATTTAAGAACCAATGGAAAGTCCCTGGCTCTCACCCTTCACTGGTGTTGACACTGGACCAAGCTTTCAACACAATCATTAGCATTATATGAAGTGGTCCTTGCCTCCCAGAGAATATTAAAGACATGAACTATGAAGGTGACTCAATCTAACATGTGAATACAAGCAGACTGAAGTAGAAGAATTTGCAAGTTAGCAGCGTGAGAGAGGCAGGAAACACTGGTGGAATGTTCTATAGAAAGTAGTCTATAGAAAGCATGTCCTATAGAACATGGCAAGAAGATGGGGAAGAGTGCAGGGCATAGAGCAGAGTGGACAAGGGCACAGCTGAAGGGTGGGTTGGCGAGTGATGTTTCCAAAATAAGCAAAGTAAAAATCCCAGGACCAATCTAAAAGGAGATTGGTTGATGGGCTTCTGTCATGCAAGGACCTGGGAAAAGAAGGGCAGAAGGTCTAGCAAGGAGGTTGATGCTGAATGGAGGATGCAGTAGAAAAGTAATGAGATCAGATGAGGGAACATCCCAGGACCAAGTGCAAGTCCAGCACAGCTTTACACTGACATACACGTCTGTCAAAAGCTGGCATGTAATCCTGCTCCAGCCCAGGATCTGGGTGGGGTTTCTCCTGGGGAGAATTTATGAATACTTACCTTTCTAGGTAAAGGCCAGAGGGGCACAACCCAACTCACAACTACAGAGCCCACATACATCTGGGTGAGCCAATCTCATGGTTCCCCATTTCACCTGGCCTTTGTATTTTACTTGCTAGAGTCAGAAAAATAGGCACCAAAATTACTCTGTGTCCTTGAACACTTCCTCTTTAAAGGTTCACTGGAGGTCAGCCGCATAAACTGCTCCCTACTGATTGCACCAGGGAGATTTGAGCATCTGTACAAATATGCAAAAATATGGAGATCAACAGGTCCAGCCTCTACTGGGTCCCACAAGATGGTTGCATGCACTGTTGGCTGGCTACCTAATACACACAAATTTTGTCCACTCTAGAAAAGTTGGTCACAATGAAAAATAGCCTGAATAGAGAACTTGGAGCTGAACAAGGATTTTCTTTGATTCCTACAGAGAAGTGATATTAATTTGATAACATTTATATTTGTATATTTGAAGTTTTTGTTTTCAAAGAAGGTATAGACACCAATGCAATGTTGGTGTGACTGGAGGCTCTGATGTTCCTCCCCCTTAGTCCTCTAGGGGGAGCTGGACAGTTTGTAGATCTGGTAGTACTATATGATTTGAGCAAACTGTTTAAGGGCTTTAGAGCCTATAGGCATTTATTCTCCCACAACTTTGTAATTAGGAATGGAGAAAAAAAGGCAATGACTGCAGGGGTATATTTTTAACTAAAAAAGAAAAGCCAAAATAAAAACCATTCTTAAAACAGCTTATCTACTGGTTTGGGGGCCAAAACCATCATGATCTGGCTCCAGTTGATAATGTAAACAAATTGATTTTAAAGTTGTTGGCAAATGGCTTCTAACTAGAGAGAGCAAACACGTTCATGTACAATAAACTCTATTGAGAAAAGAAAAGAACTCATGACTTACTTTAGGAAATCATGGTCTGACAGGATAAAGAGAGAGAGAAACATGTAAACTTGTCTCAACCATAGGATGGAGAGCAACTAGAACACAGGAGGACTTCTGTATTCTCCATTTTAGAATGGGAACAGAAATAGGAAATGATCTCAAGTTCTCCACTTTTGGCTACTTTCTGGGTCTTTGTGTGGGGTCCTGTGTGGAGACAACTCAAGTTTCAGGACTGGTGGGTATAGGTTGGTTCTGGACTCCTCAGTACTTGCTGGGAGGCACCAGTTTGGGCTTCATTTACATAAGGATCCGCATTTTGGTCCTTCCTTCCTTCCTTTTTCTTTTAGCCATTTCTTAATGAGCTTCACTGACAGGACAGCTACCTAATAACAAAGTACAAATGGTATAACTCAAGGGTTTCGAAGATGGAATAGTCGCCATGCAACCAAGAGATGCTGATCCATCCATCTGGGACTATTTACAATGCTCACATGCCACGCTAAGAGGGCAAGAATAGTTCTGAATGTAAGTGAGATGGGTTTAGAAAAACCAGAAGATGAAGAGGTTTAACAGTGGTAGGGTATCGTCCTATCATCTCAGGAGAATCAACCATATATTATAAAGAGTAACAGCTGGATGCAATATAAAAAAGCACATGCCTATAATCCCAGCAACTTGGGAGGCTGAGAAAGGAGGATCACAAATTCAAGGCAAACCTTGGCAACTACAACTTAGAAGATCCTGTCTCAAAATGTAAAAAAAATAAAAGAGAGTTGGGGATGTAGCACCCCTGGGTTCAATCCCAGTAGTGACAAAAAAAAAAAAAAAAAAGCAATAGGATCTTATGAAAACTATGACCTTGTCATGTCCTGAAACCCCAAAAATTAAACATAAGCCTTTGGAATAATAAATGCGTCTCTCAAGGTGCTGTAACTGTATATTAGGGATACCTACTATTTACAGAAAAAAATTTAGGGATATGCCTGAAACTGAATTAGTATTCTTGTTTCCTAGCTGATGAAACCTGGGTCTCACCCAATGAACACTTGGCAGCAGCACAATAAGATCCTTGAAGAAAGAAAAGAAGCTTAGCAAGCACTAGGTGATTGTGGCCATGTGGCATCAAGGCCACTGTGGGGATGGGATGCTCCACAATCATATCCGGTGGCTACCCTGAGCAGCTTTGTATCTTCCCCTTCCATAGTAGTGAGTTGATTCCTTTCAAAATATTACCAAATCTTAGCATTCAAAGCTGCAAAGAATGGCAACTGTTCAGTAAAGTGCCCAGTGGAGGCTATATCACTTCAGGTCATGGTGAAGGTTGAGAGGAAAACAGCAAGCCTGAAGTATATCTGGTGGCATGAGCTTATTCTAGTGGGACAGTGCCAAGCACACTGGAACACCGCAGAGGAAATGGACTGGGGAAGGAAATCAATATGTGAATAAATTTTTACTCTGCTACAGAATGACTCAATCTGTGTTCTTTCCTGCAAAGGGCTGGGTTAGGGAGGCGCAGCAGGGAGGAAAGCCTGTGGCCATGCGCAGGCTTCACTGAACACCTAATGGGAAGCTCCGCAGAGTTGGAAACATGTGTACTAGTCTTTTTATTTAGCCTTTCAAGGGTGAAGCCATTGCTCAGAAAACCTTACATGTTCAACTTGGGTTTACCTCCAGTCTTCTAGAGACCTCCCTTTAAACTGAGGGCAATATGTGGACATCGAGGTGACCACAGTAGAGGCTATGTGAGCTGAGAGTGCCTGGGAAACCTCCTCTTCACATATCATCTCTTCCTGGGAGTGTGGAGTTTGTGGTGAATTTCAGAGAGGGCAGGCCTATGCTTAAGTATCCAGTCTTGGCAGGCATTTAGAGAACAGGCATACAAAGAGAGAAAAAAATCTCTTCATACCTTCATCTCTTCTTCCATTTCTGACATTTTCCGCTCCAAGGCTCGTCTCTCCTGTTTAGAAACAAGGAGCCTGTTGAACATGTAATGGACCTACAGGCAGCCACGACGCACCTCCCAGCTGCTATGGGATCAGCAGCTTCATGGTAAAGGGTCTGTCTACTGACTCAGACAAACCTTACCCAGATGTGAGTGCTCCTTCATCCTGTACCTGTGGAATGAGCTACTTCACTGTTAAGAATCCCAGGATCTCTAAGCAACTAAGTGAGACCCTATCTCTAAATAAAATGCAAAATAGGGTTGGGGATGTGGCTCAGTGGTTGAGTGCTCCTGGGTTCAATCTCCCCACCTCAAAATCCCAGGATCTAATTCTTCTTGCAAAACATCAGAAGACATAGAGGGAAGCAACTTGCTTACAGATGATCAGACCAGGGCACTCTGAGTTATTCTCTGCAAGTTGGAAGGTTTCATGGACTTTCAAATGACTGCAAGTAGCCAGAATCCTTGCTTTCTATTAACAAAAATCCACCATTATCCTCAGTAATATCCCAAGCCCCCCAAACAAAATCTTAGGGAACTGCTTCTCTCATGATATAGGGAGATGGTTTGCAAGGAAGTAGACATCACTGTCTACTAAGAAATAGCATCCCTACTCCAAGTTCCTGTCTCCCTCCATTTCTTTCTCCCAGCAACTAACTCTTATTTTAGCCTGAATGCAACAGAGAGTCCTTGATCAGATGAGATACCAAGGAGGTTTGGCTATAGGCCAAGGAAATGAAATATAAAACTTAGCTGCTTTCCAAATTAAACATACAATAAAAGGAGAGATGGGAACATATTATATCCCTAGGGTCAAATCTAAACTAGAGCTCATCAATAAATCTAATTGAGTTTTCCCAATCCAAGAATGTCAAATCCCAGAAAAATAGCTGAGTGCAGTTGGAAGGAGGTCAGCAATTGAACCAGAGAGTGGGATTCTGATGGTTCATGTCTCAAGTCAAATGAATTAAATCAATGGCAGAGGGTCCTGTTAAAAATTTTTCTTTTTAAAGTGATGAGAAGGGCAAAGAGCCCTTGTATATGTGTGTATGTGTGCGTGTGCATGCATGCTTATGATGATTTACAGTAAACCAAAATATATTATGGCTATGTGTATGTGTGTAGTTGTGCCTATTGGCAGAACTACAACAAGATGACCTTCCAAGAACCCTTCCCACCCCAAGACTGGAATGTGTACAAAGTACTGAGGAAGCCAAAAGGACTAGCAATCAAATTACTGTCCAGAATCAGACAAAAAGAATTTCTCATCAGGCTGGGAATGGAATGTGGCAGAGTTCCTACCTTCTTAAGATGAACTTTTTCCACTGGCATAAACAACAAAGTTAGGGAAAGTCAGAGAGAGAGATGAAACGGGAAAAAGAGACATGCACGTACCCGTTTCTCCATTTCTAGCATTGATGATCTGTCAGAGGTCTTTTCTTGTTTCTGCTGAGCAGATGGAAAGAAAACACTTGTTACTTCAGTTCTTTTGCCAGGGGAAACCCAGTATCGTTCATCTTCACCACTGGACACTCAGAAGTAGATGGCCAGCTTTGGGCTTTCACTTTAGCAAGTGTCCCAACAAATAAATTCTGATAGATCACTAAGCCTAACATTATTTTGTCTCTGAGGTTTGCAGGATTCCCACTGATTGGGGAGGTGGATAAGGCATTGTGACACTCCAGAAGTCACATGTGCTGGGTGTGGAGGCATATTCCTGTAATCCCAGCAGCTTGGGAGGCTGAGGCAGGAGGATTGCAAGTTTGAGGCCAGCCTTAGCAATCTATCAAGGTCCTAAGTAACTTACTAAGACTCTGCCTTAAAATAAAACATAAAAAGGGCTGGGGATGTAGCTCAGTGTACCTCTGGGTTAAATCCCTAGTACCATAAATAAATAAATAAATAACAAATAAATAAATAAATAAATAAATAAATTGTACAAAGACATTATACAACACATACCCAACTCCCTCTCCCAGTTCTCTTTCTCTCTGTCTCCAGGGCCAACTGGCCAACTATCTTCTTATGTTGTACTATCCCTCTCCCTTCTTTTCTATGAGTAATATCATAATCCAGAGGAATTGAGAAATGGGTTTTCTACTTTCAAAGTCTGGAGATCCTTGAATTTGAAGGCCCCATGGCTCTCCTCTAAACAATCCCTTCTCCCATTCCTTCTGTCTCACAGGCACTAAGGCCATTTTCCTTACAGAGCACTGGTCTCTGTGTGTGCTTACACTTCTTGGGAGCCCTGCTTTGAACACAGCACTTCCATTTTTATCTGTTGCATACCCTGGACTTTCAGTTAATATTTTATCTGCATAAAGGATTTAGAATATATACTTTAGATCACTATTGACTTTTAAGTTACAGTTTTTAGAAGGGTTAAAAAGATGTGGCTACATACCCAAAATGTAGAATAAACTCAGATAATAATCCTGCCTTAAATAAGGGAGTAAAAAGGAACCCTTAAGTCCCTTTTGGTCTTAGCATTACAGAACAGGGAAGAATTTCTTACATTCTATAGACATTTAATGAGTAAAGGTGATTATTTTTATTTTGCCTTGTGCCAGGCTCAGACAACAGTCAATAAGTATAGAAATTATACTGGTTTTCTGGCAGAGGTTACCCTTTCCTCCCCAAATTAACGAATAGCCAGAACTAACATTAATCCTCGGAATCCGGCTCCTGACCTGGGCTTTCACCTTCTGCTCTGAAAGTCATGGCTATGTGCCTTAATATTCCATCTATAGTAGGAAGGGTGCAGAAGGAAAAGAGAAGTTGAAACGGGGATTTGTGCAGATCCTCTTTAAGTCTCCCTTTCCTAAGCCTGAGAAACTATGTTTAAATTCATGTATACAAAGAACTAGTTTTTTTATTTGCTTGTTTTGTTTTAATTGTTAAGCCTGATAGAGTTTAGGTGAACCTTCCATGTAAAAACACTGTGCGTGTCCATGTGGTAACTGTCTCCATGTAAATGTATGAGACTGACAGGCTCCCGCCCACTGTCCTACCAAACAACTCCATTTTTGGTAAACAGAGAAAGGGTTTGTAGTGCCACCATTTCTTCTGAATTTCAATAACTTATATTTGGCAAAACTAAGTATATTTTGACACACCCAGCAAAGCAGTTGGCTGGAGGGTAAATGCTATTCCCCAGTGACTGGGAAAGGCTGATTTTATTTTTAATGTCCATGCATGTCAGTGTCCACAGCTTGCTAGGCTGCTCATTGCTATGAAGCGAAGGCTGGGGGAAAGGCCGTGAACCCCACCCAATAGGTCAAGAAACAAGCTAACTGCCAGAAGCTTCTGCCGAAGAAAATGTGGAGCAGGTGAAACTAGGTTTTTCCTGTGGTTCTTCACAGTCCTGACTGCTCCTTATTTTTCTATAAAATATAGTCCAGTAATAACTGACAAGAACCAGATCTGTATTTATCGACAGATGCCAATACTTGGCACAATTCAGAATAAAAATTGGACCAGACATCTCCTAAGGATCTGTTATAAATTAGATGTTTGCCTGGCTCAGTAGTACTGAGATGAAGAGATATCTTAAGGCTTACCCTGCCTTGGGGCAGGGTTGTAACTGTGTATATTTGTATTTTTTTTTCCTCTTAAATTGTCAGAGGCAGCTCTCAGGACAGGCCAACTATTTTGAGCCTGGCTAAGTCCTTTTCTGGTCAGTGTGGCTGTCCTAGCTGTCTTGCTGGGATCCCACACAATTTTGTAGCACTATCTTCTACATGCTGGTGCCCCTTGCTCATCCCATGTCAGAGGGTTGCTGTTCAGAGGGTATTTGACTACCCCGGTCCCCACCCATCCCCACAGTTTAGGACTATTCAACTCTATATTTTAGTCTTACTTTTGGATCGTATCAAATTACCAGATTGACTAGCCACCTCTGGTTTTCATTTCACGCTCTCCTTGTAAAGAGTCATTTTTACCTCAGATTGGCTTTTCAAATTCTTAGTCCCTAGGCATTGGGGTCTAAAACTCAATAGGTTTCCGGTTAACTCTGCAGTAACCTAAGACAATACTTGCTCTAGCTCTCAGCTGCAGGGTTTATTTCACTAGTGATGAGGTCATTACCTCTACCACCCTCTAATGCATCATCTAATAAAATCAGGCCCAGCAGTGAGAGGAAATGGATATCCTTGCCTTCCCGCCTACCAGCTCTTTATTTCTAGCTGAAGGAGGGTGTAGCCTGGGGAGACAGGAAGGAATCGTTAGTTGCAGGATGGAATCTTTACATTAGGACCTAATCCCAGGTTCCAGAAGCTCTTCTTCCCCTTTCCCTGACATAACCTAAGCAAGCCACTCTTGTTTCTAGGCCCAATTTGCTACCTTTCTGTACTCAGGTATGGTGTCTTGTAGATCCCTCTCCAAAAGGTGATGTGCATATGAGCTACACTGAAACACGAGGAACAAGTCAGAAGAAGCTGTTTAGGACTGACTGTGCTGTGCTAGTTTATGCTTTTCTACTGAGAACTAATTAGATAATATTAATTAATTATTAGCACTTAGACCATCAGAAGTTGTTCACTGAACTATCAGTTTTCAATTTTAAGTTAAACACTGACTGAATCCTAAATTCAAATTAGAATCCAAGGGAACTCCATTTCACTGCCTCTGATGAGGCCTGATTTTGACTCTATCTCATGTCCTGGCCCCTTAGATCCCTAGTCCAGGTTGTCTGCTGATATTAACCCCTGTCTCCCCATCTTCTTTATTCTTTCCTCTCCTTACCTGGGCCATCTTCTCAAGCTTGGATTTTATATCTGCTAGCTCTAGCTGGGCCTCCTGAAGTTTGGTTTTCAGTTTTTGGTTTTCAGTCAGGGCACTCTCGTAGAGCTGGGGAGGGGGAAGCAGAGTCAGGTCACTAGGGTGGGGCTTCCTAGAATCAAAACCCACACAGTTTGATCACATGAGAAAGTCTGGGGCTCTCTGCTCCAAGCCAAGACAGTACCCTAGGGGCAGAAGACGACGAAGTGTGGGGATCAGGGCACATTCACAGCCACTGCTCTCTGGCTTCTTGAAGGTGATGATCTCACATGCAGAACACAGAGAATGATGCTCTAATTTCTTTTTTTTTTTTTAAATTTTTTTAGACATTGATGAACCTTTATTTTATTCATTAATTTTTATGTGGTGCTGAGAATTGAACCCACAGCCTCACACATGCTAGGCAAGTTCTCTACCACTGAGCCACAACCCCAGCCCTCTAATTTCAATAATGTTAATCTTGGGAGGAAAACCCCCAGTCATCCACTTTCTCCTATGTAGTACTGACATTGCTTAAAAGTGTGGCTTCTCACACCAGAGAGATTAGTTTTGTAACTGGCCTAGGGTGATTTTTGTCAAGTTCTACTTAATAAAAAACATCAACAAAGAAGAATTTCTTTAACCAAAATGTTTTTTCCTGGTACCTCAAGTGCTTGAAAGGGAAAGTTTTCAAAGCCTACTTCTGGAGCTAGATAGCAAGACAAAAGGAAATGGACTATAAAGTGATTCGAATCCTTTCCAAGCCCAGACAATGATGATAATGATGAGGGTTTTTTAAAAAAACTAACATCAAGAAGTATTTAGCTGATATTCACAGGATCTTATTAAAAGCACATGTTTATTAAAAATAAGTCCACCACATGAGTCTCAGGTTTAGACAGAACTATAATTTTTTATTCTTATAATTCTTATTTTCTTACTTTTTCCCATATATGTAAATATCTGACTCTAGGCAAAAACTTACTGCAATAAAAACAATTTAAGGATCTTTATTTAGCTGGTGGAGAGGTAAAGCAAACAAAGACTGTAAGCAAGGAGTTGTTACTTAAGTGTCCTTTTCCCTGCTTACTCACAACTGCGCTCCTTTTTCTATCCTGGGGGAAAAGGCTATTTATATGTTGTAATCCAAGAACAGGAAAATTGAAAAACGACCTTACTTTTTTATAATCCCTGTTGCTGTCCTCTTCCACACGGCTGGTCAGACTGGCTAGACGAGCCTCCCGGGCTTCCCGACGGGCTCTTGCTGAGGCTCGGTCACCATAAGAATCACTGGTTGTAGGGTTACCACCTCCTGATTCCAACCTGTGAGATGTAATGTGAAAGGTAAAAAGTACTTTTGAGAACAAAGTAGTGAGGGGAAGATAGAGTTCAGGAGTAGTCTGTACTTTTTCTAAGATATTTGTGAGGGGAGGCCAAAAATGATGCATGACATTCCTTCCTTGAATCTCTCAGAGAGCATTCCTGGATCTCATGGCAACACTGTATCCGTGTGGAGCTTATTAAGGAGGGAAGCTGTCATTTTCCAAGAATGGAGCTTACTTGAAAAATTGGTGGTTTGGACACATGTGCTGACTTAAATCTTGGAGCTTTTCAATTAGTTTGGGGTTGAACAGCTTCCCTGAAAAGTGTGCTTTTAAAAAGCAAAAGTTTCTTGGATCTCAATGGCTCTTGGAAAATGATTACAATTAACTATCGTTGAATCAGAAATATGTGGAGACTGAGCTGGAGGCTGAATGGAGGAGGATGGCCTGCAGGGCATGATACCTGTACTTCATCAGTGCACTGAGATTGGCTGGAATCCCAAACATTCCAGGGTGCTACACGATGCCCAAACAGCTACTTTCAGACCCTCTTTTCTGTATTCTATATCAATACTTATATCTAAAACCAAGATTCTTATACCTTCCAGAAACTGAACTTCCAAGAGTGGTTTTATTTCCAGTATTGGTAAATTCGTTAGAGGAAGTCAGCTAATTATGGTTAAAGTGTATAATTATTGAACTGATCCTAAATACTGGTTTATATTTTCCTGAACTTTGCTTTTTACAAAATAGAATGTGTCACACACGAAAGTGCTCTGGACAAAGCAGCCCTGCAGAGCTCTACGGTCCTGAATTGGGACGGTTTGAAGCTTCACAGCTGTGGGACTTGCATCTGATGTTTCTGTGGTACCTACTGTCAAATCTAGGGAGGGGGTAGCTGAAATAAGCATTAAGTATTAGAAAAGGCAGAAAAGCAATAAGGTTGAGGACAGAGAGGGGAGAGGCGAAGTAATTAGCTCCTAAGGACAATAATGGTCACTTTTCTTTATAACATTCATTTTATTTCTTTTGTTAATAGAAATCTTTGTATTAACTTCTTTTTACTATAAAAGCAATACATTAAAAGTAATACCAAAGGGGGCTGGGGTTGTGGCTCAGCAGCAGAGCACTTTTCTAGCACTGGTGAGTGAGGCCCTGGGTTCGATCCTCAGCACCACATAGAAAACAACATCTGAGATAAAGGTTAAATTCTTAAAAAAAAAAAATTTAAAAATTAAAAAAAAATAATACCAAAGTATCTACCCCATAATTTTGCCCAAGGAATATAACCACTATTAACAGTCTAGTTCATCTCCTTGCAGGATGTCAACACAAAAATATGTTAAAATATATATTTCTGTAAATAAAATTAGATACTGCCTATTGTCTAATTCCTCTTCCTTCCTACACTTATTATTATGATTGTGGGCATCAGCTAAGTAAAAATAAATTTGTTTCTCATAAAAATGACTGCACAGTCCTTTCCATGGTTTTCTGATAATTTAATTAATCTTTAATTGATAGCCACATATTATTTGTTCTGGCCCAGACTGACCTCAAAGTTGTGATCCTCTGGCCTCAGTCTCTTGAGGAATTGATTTTAATATTCGGGGGGTTCAATATTTTTGGTTATTCATCTTCTTTGTTTTGGCATTACCCACTTTGTGGCCTTTATTTAACAGAATCTTCATCATCTCCTTGTTATTGGTGGAGCCTCCAACATGGCAGGGTTTTTACAACTAACATAGCTTAAATTTTTTTTTCTATTTTGCTTTTTGTTTCTATAGTATCTTTTATTGCAGAGATTTAAAATTTTACGTGATTATATTTGCCGATTTTTACTTTTATCATATAATGTTTAGGAAGGTCTTTCCTACATAAAATTATAAAATATTTTACTATTTTTGTTGGAAAGCTTTTTTCTCTAAAAAAATTATAACCCATCTGAAATTGCCTTTTTTGGGGGGGCAGGAAAGATATAGTTCCCAAGTAGTCAATTATCTCAATGATCACTTAATGAATAATTGTTTCCCCAATGAGATAAAAAGCCACCTCATACACATGACTTTGTGGGGATTATGGATTGTGTTCCATCATATCTTTGTTTATTTTTAGACTGGTACCTCACTGTTTCAATCATTGCAATTTCATAGCATACTTGAAATCTATAGGCAAAGTCTCCTTTCATGAATGGCTATTAATAACACAATAGAGTTCATAAAAGATTAACTATAACAAAATATCACGACAAAATGCCACTCTACCAATTCTGTAAAGCTGAGTAAGCTTCTGCTAGGTTAGAAGTAAATTACTTATCCTTGGCTGGTGCTGGTGAGAGGGCGAGCAAAAAAAGAATACACATAAAACTTAGCACACATTAAGGGAGAACCAGCTCCATCACCAAGCAAATTATGAGAAGACTCATTTGCCCTGTGTTGTCTTATATCTACATCTTCCCCCAGTCTCTTCTTAATTTCTCCATCAGAGGAATAGTGGAAAGGAGAGATTCAAATGTGTATCTCCATAATTGCTATTATTTTCTTCTTCCAAAAGATCAGTTTTTGGTTTATTATTATTTTTTTGGTGCTGGGGATTAAACCCCGGAGCACTTTACCACTGATCTACATTTTTAGTCTTTTACAGGCATACAACTTTGCACCTGGCTAGCAAGATCAGTTTTTATAACCTTCTTATTAGTTGAAAAATTTCAGAGGATCATCCTCTAAATGGATACCTTCCCTTAATGTTTCTGCAACTGCAAAACAGGTCTTTAGTTAATTTGACAAACTGCTGCTGAGCACCATTTAGATACAAGGGATAAAGCTGGACTCACTGTTAGTGACGGCATCTAGTCTCAATCTCCGTTCAGGTTTCCACTATGCAATGAAGCCTTCCCTACACCACCAGATTAAGTTAACTGCCTTTTTTTTTTTTTACTCTCACATTTCCTGACCATACTTCTAAATGGCATTTTCTACATTCTATTGAAATCATCGGTCTCTCCAGTGGTTTATAAGCTAATTGTGGGTAAGGATATTGTCTTATTTGTATTGTTTCCCTACTGCCTAGCACAGTGCCTGGTACAGGCGCTTTAGGAAATTAATCTAGTGGTAGTACACAAGGTGAACTGGAAAAAGGAGACTGGTGGCAGGAAGGCGAATTGAAAGCTGTTCTATTACTTTGGCAGGAAATAATAAACATTAGAAATTATTGTGGTGGATGTGGAAATGAAAAGGAAGAAAATAATGTGGGGAAATTACTAAACCACTATATAAATCTAAATTTAATTAGACATGTATTTACTCATAATTATTAAACATGCATATAAAACAGAGAGGGTTCTTACCTAGAAAGTCTTTCATGCTAGAGAAAGGAAACAAAAACAAAAACAATTAAAAAAAAAAAAGGAAAAAAGAAAACAGCATTAGCAAGGGGACTTATTTTTATTTCCATTTATAAACGCATTTTTTTCAAATCAGATGTCTCAACTTCACAGCTGGAGATAGGGTTGCAATTTAAGAAAAGCAATTCAACCAACTGCACAAAAGGCTACTTAGCTTGAGCTCACATTTGGTATTCCATGACTCAGCAGACCTGAGGCTTAGGGATATAGCATCTTTTTTTTCTTTTCAGGGCTAGGGTTGATCCCAGGGGTACTCTATCACTGAACTATTCATTTTTATTTCATTCTGAGACAGCATCTCACTAAATTGCCCAGTTTGGCCTCAAACCTGTGATTCTCCCACCTCAGTCTTCTCAAGTTGCTGAGATTATGGGCATGTGCCACTGCTCTCAGCAGGGACATAGTATCTTTTAAAACTAGAAGTCAGCAAATGTAAAATGATCAAAAATTGACACCCCCTCCCCTCCAATAAGCCAGCCAACCAGTGTTTTAGGCGTGGATATCACTGATTTTCTGTGTGACATTTTTGATCATTTCTAATATCAATATTCAAACTGTTAACTTCTTTCAGTTCACAGACCCCCAAACCTTCCCAGAATAAATTTATAAATGTTAAACTTGGGACAGTTTTCTGATTTTCACCTAGATCTATAGTGAAGGTAGATAAGTGAGAAAATTAGAAAGGGAAGAAGAGTTCCATCCTTAGTCTCTAGAATGCTGATTAAAAAAAAAAAAAGAAAGAAAGTACTTTGAGGTCTCAGAAGGAAGGAGTTTAATATGTAAACTATGATCTTGGTCACTGTAAATAAACCAACAAAAAGGGACTATGTCTGTGTTTCCCATTTATTTATTTATTTTTATCATAGATGGCCTTTCCCCTCCTATCCCTTCACTTTTTATTTTTATTTTTTTTAAAGATTTATTTATTATTATTATTTTTTAAATATTTGTTAGTTTTCGGCAGACACAACATCTTTGTTGGTATGTGGTGCTGAGGATCGAACCTGGGCCGCACGCATGCCAGGCGAGCGCGCTACCACTTGAGCCACATCCCCAGCCCTTTTTTTTTTTTTTTAAAGAACTCAGGCAAATAAACACTTACTTGATTTGAATGTATTTATTTATTTCCTCTTTTGAGGTGTTAAGGAATAACAAAAACTCCCAGGACAGATAAAAGAAGAAAGAAGAGATGCAGAAATGTGACAAAAATGTCACAAAACTAATAATAAATCCTTGAACTACTGAAGAGTTACTCAGTGGCACTGATTTGGAGATGGACACAATACCTTTATTTTATTTATTTATTTTATGTGGTGCTGAGGATTGAACCTAGTGCCTCACATGTGTGAGGCAAGCACTCCAGCACTGAGCCATAACCCCAGCCCCTTGTACACTTTTTCATCCTAATATAAATCTTGGAGATTTTCTTTTAGTAGGTTTGGAGTGGAATCTTCCTATCCCCCCAGCACCATATTGGGAATTGAATCCAGTGCCTCATGTGTGCTGGGCAAGCACTCTACCACTGAAAAGGCCTCCTTAAAATTTTATTTTGAGATAGGGTCTAAGTTTCCAGACTGGCCTCCAACCTGCAATCCTTCTGAGTAGCTGGAATTATAGGCATGTACAATCATGCCTGATGCCCTGTATGTATTTTTTAACTAGTACCCAAGATAATTCTGTGGCATAGCTCTGGTTAAACACCACTGGACTGAACATATGTTTGTTTATTTATTTTTTTAAGGTGAAGACATGTCCCATTTGAGATGAGGAAATCATAAAAAAAAAGTATATAGTATACATTTAATGTCCTCATACACTTGGAGTTCTTGGAGAATCCTGAAATTTAGAAACCTGGAATTCCTGACACTTTTCCTCTCCTGTAATTATACATTTGTACCTGATCTTCAGGGAGAGTCATATCCCATACACTCAATGCATATCCCACACTACCAATGGCTATTTTTTTTGTCAACATTATCCAAAGATTTTTTCCTCTTACTTGAAGGCTCCCCTCCCCAAAGAGGCAGCTATTTTTTTCCTTTTTTTTTTTTGGTGGCGCTAGGGATCAAACCCAAGGCCTCATCCACATTACAGAAGTGCTATATTACCGAGCTACATCCCCAGTCCTAAAAGAAACTAAATTTTAATTATTTCTCAAGAATTACTTTATATATAAGCTGAGCATGGTGGTGCATGCCTGTAATCCCAGCTACTCAGAAGGCTTAGGCAGAAAGGAAGATTGCAAGTTCCAGGCTGGACTGGGCAACTTTAGCAAGATTCTGTCTCAAAAAATAAAAAGGGCTGGAGATGTAGCTCTAAGGTAAGTGGCTCTAGGTTCAATTTCTGGTACCAAAAAAAAAAAAAAAAAAAAAAGAATTACTTAATATATAAAAAGGCTTCAAGAATATTGGATTAAAACTCACAGCCAAGGAAACCTATAAATGGTGACATGTCAAATACCTATGTGTAACTGAGACTGAACTTCACACTAGCAAATGCTAAGAAGCTGATGTATTTAAGAGCCAACTGCATACAGGGCCCTGGAGAGGATGTGGAGAAAGAAGTTAACTTACTACTCTAACCAGCATTAATAGTCAATATAGCATCCTGACAACTTAAAAATGAAGAGAAGGAAAGTGGGAGGAGCTGATATTTTAAGATATTTTAATATTTTAAGGTACTTGTTAATTTTCATAATTATCACATTTAATTTTACTATCAGAGTGATAACTTGCCCAAGGTCTCTTGGCTAGATGATGTCAGAGTAGAAATTAGAACTCAGGACAGGCCAAGGCCATCACATTCAGAAATATGAAGAACTCAGTTCCACTCAGTTTATCAAGCACCCATCATGCTCTGGCCCCATGGGTACTAACTGTGAATAAGATAGTGTATGTATTTCTCTAACATCATTTCGGAACTCATTTATTTCTGTAAGTCTTCTTAGTGGGAGCCCAGCGGTTACCTGTTATCTTATGGCCCTTTAATCTAGGAAATTGAGCTCACATACAACCAAATGAAACAGTAATTTAGGAAAACATTTAATTTCTCTTGCTGATTCTGGGCATAAGAGCCTTCAAATGACATCATGCATTCAGGAGACCCATTCTGGATAGTCTCTCCAAAGATGAACTTCCCACATATTCTCTTGGGTATGGAAAAAGCGACTCATTTAAAAATCAAACTCGTCTGCTTTGTGTTTTCTTTTTCCTCATCCTACTGAAATATAAGCCTATTTCCATACGATGTGCACAGACTGAGGCCTGCTTAACTTTCTTACAATTAAATCAGGCCTGTTTTCTGGCTTTGTTTTTCCTGAAATGTGGGCCCTCATATGAAAATATCTTTCTTTCTTGTCTCCATTCAGTTTCTTCTTTGTAAATACCTTATTTGTTGGATAAGGAAATGAGGTTTTTTCCTCACTAAAATGGAGGAAATTAGGATGTTTTAAAACCAGGTATGGATCTTGGCAACTGCATGTATCAAAGCATGTGAATCATTTCCATTGATTAACTTAAGAATAACATGTAGGGCTGGGGATGTGGCTCAAGTGGTAGCGCGCTCGCCTGGCATGCGTGCGGCCCGGGTTCGATCCTCAGCACCACATACCAACAAAGATGTTGTGTCTGCCGAGAACTAAAAAATAAATATTAAAAAAAATTCTCTCTCTCTCTCTCTCTCTCTCTCTCTCTCCTCTCTCACCTCTCTCACTCTCTCTTAAAAAAAAAAAAAAGAATAACATGTAATTCACCTTTTTCATTTAGAATGTTCTAGAAGTACAATGAGGTTCTTTATGCCCTGGCATCACACCGAAGAAAGTTCTCAGACAGATATGTGAATATATAGTGTGGCTGTGTGTACTGTATAGCCTCTACTGAGGAGGGTGACAGAAAACACAAACACTTAAAAACTGAAAAACACAAAAGACAGGTAATCACTATTAAGAGACAACCAGAGAAAGCCCACAGTCCCCTGGATATTAAGAGGCAGATTCCACAGGGTTTTCAAGCAGCTGAAGTTAATTTTTCCACAGATGAGAACATGTGGAGAAAGGTAACACTGTGGTGTTCACACTTGTGACTGCCACACCAATTCCTGCCCCTCCAGGCTTCCTGCACATGTTCCCTACAGATAGCCATCAGGAGCATGATGAATGACACTCCCACTTCTACCTGCCAGGAGAAACTAAAAGCAAATATCACAGTCTGTTACCATCTTTTTGGACATGTTAAGATTCCTTGTCATCAATTACTCTTTGGGTGACCTTTTATAAAAATGTGCAGGTGATGAGTAATCCAATAGACAAAGCAGTAGACAATTCACCTAAATCCAGATATCAGAGAAAAGAGAGCTTCCAAGCTAATCCTCCATCTTTCCTCACCATCTCTAACAGTAACCTCCAGCTTCTACCTGACTTTTAGAGCAATGTGGAAACCTTGGGATTGTTTTTCTTTTCTTTTCCTTTTTCCCCCCTTTTTATTGTCTTCTAGGGCTAGTCTTAACAATGACCTGGGAAGGTTCATCCAATTAAAGGAGAGTATATAAACCTAAACCTCAGAGATTATTGAGGATGCAGTAGAGGTAACACAGTTACCTCAACACAAACAATATTATTTCAAACAAGGAAAAATCCCTGAAATTTCCAAAGGAGATGGTATTCACATAGTAAAAGAAATGGTTTCCTTTGAGTTTTTAGCCTAAAAAAATATTTTTATAGGCTGGAAGGCAAGATAGCTTGAAAGGATACAGGATTTAGTGTTTAATTCCTCAGCTTCTGATAAAATGGCTTAGATTTTTAGCTCATACTTCCTGTTTTTAATGATAGAATACTCCAAAAACTATTGTTTTGCTTGGTTTCTTGATACCCAAGATAACTGAGGGTTTGATTTAAAAAAAAAAATTCAGGAGAGAAATTTGGGTTTGCTGGGTAAAGAGGAGAGTGGCTGAATTGGTACACAGG